GAATACAAAACAAACAAAAAACAATAACAAAACAAAACAAAAAACGTTTAAAGGCACCATATAACTACACAGCTGCAATTAAAAAACACTTTATTTATAACCAATCAAACTAGAGATGACTTAAAAAAGGGCCAGTTCAAAATTCAAAAGTACAATGGGTTGGGTTTAATTCCATACCGGGGTGACACCTTGAATATCGATCCTTTTTATTCTAAACAGGCTAGCATTGTTATAAATTCGTATCATATAATCGTATCCTTGTCTTTCATTACTTTTTTTTCGGGGAAAACTGATAATTTGCTATTTTATGTGTATTTTCTCCTCTATTTCTATCTCAACTGGTTAGTGAACGCCACAAGAAAGCTATATTTAAAGTCAACGTTGAAAGAAGAATTTACATACCTTCTTTTATAGAATGAAAGAAAGTTATAAATGCCACATTTTAATTATGTTGATACACTTATCAATTCGATTACAATCTGTTAGAATGATTTATACTTTTAAAATGTGATTTGAATTGAGAATGTGCTAAAGTTTTGTTTAAACATATTTATCTCAGCTCAATTGCGAAACAAGTTCTTGCAACTTATATTAATCACTTTCGAGTCTGCTTCCTGGAACTAACCATGCAGTAATGGTGTCATATGAAGAAACATGGTCGTGACGCGATTAGTGCTCGAACCCATGATCCACGGGTTGATAGGCAGATGCCTAAACCACTAGGCCACCGCTCCCCATGTGCTTAAGCTGCAAAGAATGAGGAAATTTGAAAAATTTACTCGTGAATAGAATGTAAAATGAGAATAAAATACATGTATTCATTAATAATTCATGCTTATGAAACAGATCTTCTAGTAAACAGTGGAAAATATCATATTTGTGTAAGTCATGTAGCAATTAATAGTTATGGGATATACCAATAAATTTAAAGAGTAATTTTTAGTATGTTTATGAAACAGATTTTCTAGTACGCAGTGAAAAATATCATATTCATATAACTAATGTAGCAATTAATAATTATGAGATTAACCAATAAATCTATATAGTAACTTTTAGCGTTTTATGTAAAACTCGCATTTTCTACAAAGTCAGAATGACATTTCAAATCAGAAAGCATTTAATGAAAATAAACTCGTCGAAAGTGCCAATAGTAGAGTGTTAACTCCAAGTTTAAGACAATCATGATTCTAGGCGAGTTCTTTACCTTAAGCCGCTCTATTGCTTGAATGCTTTGCATTTTAAAAAGAAAATGTATCAGGCCAAAATATGTGTAAGATCCACACTCTTGTATAATTTTTACCAACAAAGTCTTTGTACAGCTGACACGTTATGCCTAAGAAATGAATAAATTATCCCTGTGTGGAAAAGGCAAAGATCTGTTTTACTAATGATATATGTCACTGTTCGGATAGGAAAATACGTCCTCAGGGTGCCCCGCCCATTGGGCGGTAAGGAGACTTTCCGGCCACGGGCGGGTGCGTAAGGGACGGATATTCAGATCTGAACTGCAAATACACGTCAGATATTTTTTCTTGCATGTTCAGTCTGATTCTATAACATTTAAAATGTTTGCCTTAAAAAGATATTTTTTCACGGAAATTAATAACATTTTATTCGTAACTATTTTCTTACAATAGCGTATGGATTTACAAGTAACTCTAACGTTGTTATAATTAATTAATTTCTATTTGAAAGACCATGTTCCATGGACATATGATCATCAGTCGGCACTAAGTCTTGTATCTTCTTCAAATTTTGTACTATATCAATGGCGTTATTTTGTTGCAACTGCTAAATGATTTTTAGCATCGTTCGTCAAGGTTAATAAGAAATAAATAATAATCAAGAATTATTGTTCAACGTTTCTGAGCAGCACTTTAAATAATTTATTTTTCTTCACTGTCTCAATCTACATTTTGAAAATCAAAGTGCTGAAAGTACTAAATTGATAACGTTAAGCACATCGAAAACGGTGAACGTATATATATTATACTTTGCATCTATACAGTCAAATTAATGCGATATGTTAATACAGTATTCGTTTGATGTCCTGTTGATATATAATGATAAAGACTTGAAGATGATAGTGTTGCTTAAAAATACAAATGGGCCGGGAAATATATGCAATGCAAGAAATTTTTTCTACTATGGATTTAGAAATTATATATTTAAATTAAAAAATCTCTTCGATGAGTTACCATTCTTGATACATGCTTTTACCATATTAGAATTTTGTTAAGTTTTCAAAGGGTTATAATCAATTAAGGTCGATGACTTAACGTTAATTCATATTCCTAAGCATAGGTGAATGCACGATCCACAGAAAACCCATTAAAACAGTTTTCCTCCAAACATCTTAATTATATCAATTAAGTTCACAAAAACGTAAACATGTCTGGAAAGTACACAATAATTGCTAACGCTTTCGATAAGGTCAGTAATGAGAATGAGAAAGTACTGTTGAAAATACATGACTATGGAATCAGAGGTCAAACTTTAAGATAGGTCAAAAGTTTTCTAAATAACAGCCTGCAGTCTGTTGTGCTAAATGGAAGCACCTCAAACCTCATCCAAGTATCACCCAAGGCTCAGTTCTATGACCCCTCCTCTTTCTCGTCTATACACAAATGAACTCCCACAAAATATTCCCGGGTCCGCTTGTTTACAGACGATACTGCACTATAGATTGCTCTGACATCTGCAAACCAAGCAGTCACTTTCCAAAATGACCTAAATCGGTTAGAAAAGTGATATGGAACTTAACCCATTCAGTTATTGAGTTATCCACGTCACAAAAAGGAAACATCATATTCCGAGATAATACTTCCTACATTGAGTCCAATTAGAATCGGTTATCTCAGCTAAATACCTAGGCGTGGATATATCAGAAAGAAATACATAGGATGCATACATGAAACAAAACTTTCAAGAAAGCAAGCAAACCTTATGATTCCTACGCAGGACCATGAAGGTTAAATCCCAATCCATTAAGTCCGTTGCTTTCCACGCGTTAGTCAGACACCCGCTTGAATGTGGTTCCGTGGGATGGTCTCCGCACGCCAAAATACAAATACAGATCAAATTGAAAATGTGCAAAGAAGAGCAGCCCGATGGATCAAGCTAGGTTATGGTCAGACCTCTAGCGTCACGGACTTCACTCCCTAGCTTAAGGTTCGAAAACTGGAACTCAGACGTATAGATGCTAGCTATATAGGTTATCCCTTTTCTATAACATTCACCATGGTCTCGTTTCTATCCCCATAGAAGAATATGTGACACTCCCAAACATCACGCCATGGCCATCCCCTGTGTTATAGGTTATTCACAAACAACATCAGACTATCATAAATGTTCCTTCTTCCCTAGGACTGTATACCTCTGGAACCACCTATCCTATGCAATTGTCCTATTCCCTACCCTAAATCAATTCAGTGTCATAGCTTGCATTGACCATATCTTACCTAAGCTTCCCAGTCCCTGTTTCAAACACTTTTAATATTCTTCTTTTATCCTCTTTTTTTAACAACTCTTTTTAACTTTCTTGCGATTTTGACGCGCAGATATGTCAACGTCCACGCGAGGGGGGTTAACATAAATAGAAGATAGATAGATGGATGCAAAGATAGATGGATGGATGGGCGGGCGGACGGACGGACGGGATGGGTGGATGATAACTCCTAATCACAGAGCTATATTTAATTTATTTTGTGTATAAGTCTTTGTTCTGAAGTTTATGTATTTTATATTTTTAAAACTTATGAAAATCACATTTTTTTTATATTTTTCTGCAAATAATTTCGAAAAATATTAAAGCATTGGTTAATTCAATATTGATAAAGTTAGATATATGTATACTTAAATGACAGTATTTTGGTCTCACCCCGGTACGGAATTAGACCAAAAAGTAGGGGTTTTTTTATTTGAATTGGCAAGATTTCATCTCTAGTTTGATGGGTCATAATTAAAGTGAATTTATTGTATCTGTGTAGTTTTTTGTGTTATATGATGACTTTCAACGTTTTTTTTTTGTGTGTATTCTCCAGGACCTTCTTTGTTCGCGGAAGGTTTAAAGATGTAATACCAACCAGCAGTCAGGGTTTTTAAAGTGCTCAATTTAACCCATTACTTCATGAGCATTTTGTGAAAAATGGCTATTTTCATTGAAAAGTCTCCCGTTACAAGTTCAAATTGCTATAATACTATAAAAACTGCTTCAACACTAATCAAACTTGGCACAAATGTTGGCTGGACCATTTCCCTTGAAACAACATGCTCAGGCTTAAATTTTATGTTACCATGGCAACGAGAGGACATCTCAAAATTGCCAAAAATCACTATTTTGCGTTGATTTTTTCCATCAAAATTGATTTCAAAGTGCTGCAACTTCTCAATGGATTGAGATAGAGTCAAATGCTTTTCAGCATTGGTTACACGTTACCTTATGATCAATCTGGGGTCATTTATAGCCTCTCACAAGTCCGAAATTTTCTTGGCGATGAGGGGAACTCCGCCCCCCTTCAAACCCCCCAAAAAGAAAGGGGCACATCCCCCTTCTGGCAGCCCCTGATGTATCTTTTGGTAAGGGGGCCGCGCCGAAAAAGTGGTCACTTTTTTTAACAACATTTCTCAAACAAAAACAAGTGTTGGGGGCCTAAATAAGGCATTTTTTCACCATTAGAGACAACAAAAAGGGGGGGTGAAAAGGGCGTTAAAAGGCGTGTATATCGCGTATTAAATGGGTCAAACAGTGTTATGTACAACAGAATGAATATTATGAAAAAGTAGATGACTAACATAGTTATACTTAGATAGTGTTGATGGTTAAAGTTAAATACAGTATATAAGTCATCAAAAACAGTGGAATCCAGAATTAAGCCTCAAATTTGACTAATCTACTATAGAACAAATAGTACTTAAAATCGCTACCGGAAATTTGAGAACGGCTTGAAGTCCGGAAACAGGAAACCGAGAATTAGTGAACAGCATCACTCTGACGTCATTTTGTAAACAAAGATGGAGGTTATTGGATAGTTTTCCGAAATTAAAATAAATTTTCTTTGATTTGCGCGCACGAAAGGGAAAAAGAAATATATCACCACGCTTATTGATCCAGTATCGAATAAATTCTTCAAGATGAATACGGAAGAAGTTTCATTTTTAAAAGATCAAGGTTTAAATTTGAATTATTGATCAAATTTCGTGTTGAAACTTGACACAAACATGATAAAAATCAAATTTAAATCGATTTTCCCCGTTTTCATAGATACATTTAAAATTTTGTCGAGTCATTTTATGTTATGTTACAATGTCTATTTTATTAAACAAATTGCAATGAATATTGTGTGACATCAGAGACATAGGATAAATAATCATTAACTATTTTAACCTCTTAACATCTGAACTTCTCAGAACTGTTCATTATTTAGGGGAGGAGGTGTGTTTGTTCTATAAATAAAATGTTGCTTAAGAAATAATATATCACAAACAGTGATTTTATCGCTAAATTAAATCACTGTTTGTGCTTCAGATGTGTTGAATTATATCACTCAGGCATAGCAAAAAATCACTGTTAATTGTTATCTTGCGCCCGATTTGTTTCTGTACTTATTTTCAATGCATCGCTTTTTTTTATGGTTATACATGTCACATGTCTAAATTCTAATGCTTACGTCAAATGCCTAGATATAGAACTTCATCAGTGATTTTATTGCATAATAACACACATTTTCAGTCCTAAAATGGGGGTCATGTTAGAATTAAATATATTTTTACTTCTTGGCAAAGCAACCATGATAAACTATTACAAGCCCATATCATCTTATAAATATATATTGGACTAAAGGTGTGTAAGCAGTCAGATAACTCAGCCAGAAGAGCCACGGAATGGTATTTCATGGATCCCTAGCTCGAGATGTGGTCAGGCTGAATTGACGCACAACAGGGCACAGTGACTCATAATTATAGCACAGAGCTAAATTCACATTGCTCTGCAACCCTGAGAAATTCCAGGATTAATTTCAATACTAAATTCGCCACCCTTTGATATCTTGGTTTTAAACTTTTATCCGTGCTACTGGTATGAACCATACTGGCCAGAGTCCATGAAAACTGACAACCTTCAAACTAAACCCTGAAGGCTGTGTAAACACTTGATTTAGTTGTTGTCAGGGTTAGAATTTAGCAATATTTTCTACTTGCAGATTTTTGCAAGTGATCAAATGTTTAACTGGCAATATGAGGTAGTCAACTGGCATTATCATGATCATGTATCTTATTATTATTTTTAACAGGATGAAAATGTATTTTGGACATGACAAATGATAACAAGCTTGAATGTCTATTGAATGTCACAGAGATCTGCCGAGGACGCGATTTTGCGCCATTGGCGCTAAAAAAATGAGAATGGCGCAGGAAAATCGGCAGCAAAGGGCCATGGGCGCATCTAAAATCTGTGCCAGACTTATAAGAAAACAAAACTGTCTGCTGGGTTATTTAGTCATCCAGTCAAAACTGGTACCAACAGCAACATGTTACCCATGCTCCTGTAATTACGCATATTCTTGAGTTTATCCATTCCCCTATAGCTTTTGTCCATGATATCTACTTACCGCATTTCTTCTCATAATCCCTTTCCCACACAGATACTCATTTCTACTACCATAAATTTAATCCAATAAAACAAACAAACAAATTATACAACTACTTAATATTAAAAATGATTATTGGTAACTGAAAAAAAGTGTTGCTATTTCAAGAAATGCTGTAAGTTACAGTATAATCTGACAGGTGTTTAACTTGATCAACCCTAAGGTCACTCAAGTTCATGCAAGTTTTGGCTGATGAAGTGTAAAAAAAGATGTATATTTCGTCATCAGAATATTTGACAGGGTGATTAACCAATCAGAGAAACATTGTGCATGACTTTTTTAATGATCAAAAGGTCTGTCGGCAAATGTCTTTGATGTATGCTGTCTACACAGAGGCATACAAGGGGCAATAAAATTCGTCAATATACAGTGGTAAGGGACATTTGGTGCAAAGTAGAAACAATTAAATGGATAATGCACAATATAAGACATTACAAGTAAGAACCAGCAATTATGTGAATAAATTTACATATCAAATTTTTGAGCAGCCATTTAAAAAATATTTTGCCTGCAATTAATATTAGTTAGCAAGTTACCATGTAGGCATAATTTTTAATTATTGGTTAAGTACTGAATTATAAGTGAACCACTTGTCATAAAATATGATTTAAGTTCAATACCAGGGAAATTCAATTATCTACAAACTTTTTAACAGTTATTTTGGTCAATGTTTACTTATTTTCCCATGGCCCATACTTTGGTAAAAATGGCCCATCATTTTCAGACCAAGTGGGCCCAGGGCCCAGTACTTTCAAATTATGGCAGATCTCTGATGTCAGAAACATCTTTATCACTAGTAAACACAGATCTCTCATGTAAAGAAACAAAAACATTTCAACACATTAATTAATAAATGATAAACAACTGTTTAGGGATCAGATTAGATATACCAGAGGAATGTTTCTTAGGACCTTCATTATTTTAGCATATTTTGTACCTGATTAGTCATTACACCAACATCCTGAAAACTCAGAGGTACTGATCTACTTAAATAAATATTTTAGTCTAAAGGAGAGAAGTGCTACGCATTTACATTGGACCCTGATAAAACAATATGGATGCTCTAACCAATAGTGTTTGACTGTTATAAATAGTCTAATCAAAATATAGTCACAGAAAATATAGAGCAACAAAAAATTGATTTGTAAGTTTTAAAGGTAACCGTCATCAGTTACTGTAGCGGGCAGTTGCCAAGCATCATCATCAGCTAAGAAGATATCAATTATGTAAATTATGTCCAAAATGAACAGTTACTTGCAAATTAATGCCAGCTAGAGTAATTTTTACTGGCAGTATTAAATTTTAACTGGCATTTTGCCAGTATGCCAGCTTAAATTCGGTCTATCAATCTGGCACTTTAAAGCAAATGAATGTTTCAAACTTTTGCCCTGCCACTGGGCTTCACATGGTTTATGTGGACTTACATTACAAAACACATATTCATATATATGTATGTCTTATTGTGTCTAACTACAATGACTAAAGTTTGAACATTTGGAATGTGTTAGCATTGCCTTGCGTAACTCTACAAAACTGATATTAATCATGACCCAGGGGTCAATATTGGCCCAGTCCTTGTCCTTCAGAACACTAATTTTAAATAGTCTTTTATTGAAAAACATGTTATTACCGGTACATGTACTCATGCAACTTGGGTCAATTTTGGCCTCCAACCGGGGGCCACTTGTTTTATAGACTTATATAGGAAAACACATTTTAAGTGCTATTGTGTGAAACTACAATATTAATTTTAGAGCTGAGACAGTTTGGCATTTAACTTTGCTAAGTGGACCTCTACACAATTGAATGACCTGTAAATTTTAAGTTTTAATAATGAATCAAACCCCTACAGTAAATATGTCCCTACCCTTTGCATCATTTTGTATCATAAGGATAATTAAGATGAAATATTTTTCATACAAGTTTCATGAATGGGTCACTTCCTTAATTGAAAGATTATTTTGGTTACTGAATCAAATTTTCATTTATGTGCATGTTGTGGTGCTCCTCTTTATGGTTTATCAAGAGATAATTATGAGCATATAATTACATGTATATTGACTCTCATCATTATCGAAGGCTGTTTTCACAGGTGGGGGGGGGGGAAGGGGGCCCTTCCCTTAAACATTTGGTGAAAATTACATGGTATATTTGAAAAAGATAAAGAAAAGAACTCGATTTAAAATTGAATTTAATTTTAGAGAAAAATTGCATCATTGTAAAGATTTTTTGTATGTGTGGGTGAAAGAAGGGGAAGGACATGTCCTTGCAATAGATTATAGGAGAAAAGCCCTGTTATCATACACATAAGTAGATATCATTATTACTTATTGCTATTATCATAAATATTATAATCATAATAATAATAAGAATTGTCAATACCATGATACAATTATTATATTTGTTATGATATTGTTTAACAGTTTCCTTCTATATTTTAGTCCATAGGCTGACCCATGAGCTGTCTAAATATAGAGGACAAGGGTTGAATATAGAAGATGACTTGGAGGTAAGAAACCACTATGATTGTACATAATTGAGCCATGTCACGACAAAACCAACATAGTGGGTTTGCGACCAGCATAGATCCAGACCAGCCTGCGCATCTGCGCAGTCTGATCAGGATCCATGCTGTTTGCTTACCAACTCTATGGAGTGGAGAAACTGACAGCAAGCAGCATGGATCTTGGTCAGACTGCACAGGTGCGCAGGCTGGTCTGGATCCATGCTGGTCGCAAACCCATTATGTTTGTTTTGTCATGACATGGCTCATCTTAATTTTGTGTGTATTCCATACAATTCAAGTCATATTTAATTTATACCTTTTACATGGTATTGTTATATAATTGTTGAATGATTCTATGTACATTTTGTATTTGACTGAATAATTTGAGACATCTTTAATTTAGATTCATTAAGGAGAAAAGTTTAATTTTAAGTACCGGTACAGCCTTAATTTTTATGATTTTAGGATCTCTTGTTCATGAATGTTTAAGGTTATGACTTGGAGCATAATAAGTACCATGTTTTTGTGGGTTTGAGCCCCATGTGTTAATATACAATTTCAAAACCAATAACAATTTAAACAATTGTTTTGGTCTTTATTTTCCATAACACCTTCGAGCTGTATAATACAATATTATAATGTTTTTCAATTTTTTATGATTGATATTACAAAAAAGCCAATAATAAATGTAGTTACATTAAGAACAATGCTTTGTTTGAAGCAAAGAATATAATGAGATTTTGTATGACATATAAGCAATGACACATGTAAAAGTTCTCTAAACCTGCAAGAACCGAAAGTGGTAAGCTTTAAGCCACCAGTTATACATGTGTAGAGCATTATCTGTGCAATTTGACCAGGCACTATTCTGTTGGTAGCTAATTTTTTGTATTTTGTTATTGATATCCATTAAATCAAATGGAATTGATACTAATTCAGCAAATTAAGGATTTACACAGCTTCACATTGTTTACATCTGATAACGTTTAACCCTGACCACCCTGAATATCTTAAATGGACTCATCCATTTATCAGTTTGGACAAAAACCATTCATCATTTTAGGGGAGAGTTCAAAATATTTACTGACTGAATAGCAAACTGTTTCTGACCATGACCAGATGGCATTGATGTGCAAGCTGATGTTTGCTGGTCGTATGGGTAGATTCAGTTGCTGTCAGTAGGCTGAATGTTAACTGTTTTCTTATTATCACTCTGCTAACTTAATTATAATTATGCTGTGTAAATGTACAAAATAATCAAAATTATGATCACTTGATGTATATATCATTTCAGAGTCCTTTACCTAATGATGGACCCCCAGCTCCCTGGCTTACTGATAAAGGGTAAGTGTTAAGATATAAAGATATTGGATATTTCATAACTTTATTTTGAGGCCACTGGCTTACTGATAAAGGGTAAGCGTTAAGATATTGTTTATTTCATTACTTTATTTTGAGGCGTAATATACATGTTACATGACTTCTTTCCTGTCAGTTTATATTGCAGGTTATAATCTCCCCTGATATCAGAATTTGTATACATGTAATTTTATAATTGAATTCATATTTAATACATATGTTACTAAAAGTAACATAATTGCCTATGATTTTAACGGATTTTGAGTGACTCCACACCGATTGCGATATTGCAGCCCTCAGGACGGCTTAAACTCATAATCATAATCGGCCCTCATAACACTAGTATGTGCACTGCCTTAAACAGTGAAGTAGGTTTATATTGCTTGACTTTACAATGAGAAAGCATGCATATTTTATACAAGCACCGAAAGAAAATACCATAAATATGAAAATAAAACATGCTTCTTGATTCTATATTGTTCTTTGTATACTTGGTAGAAGTTACTTTACAGTAGAAATGTACAGATACAGGAATTCATGTTACTGCGACATGTATATATATTACACCTAAAATAGGTTAAAGTTTACAGGTTATTAGCTCCCCTGATTTTAGAATATTTTTTTTTTATCTTAATTGGTTGTTATCTTCCATGATTTTAGAATTTTTTTATATTAACAGGTTGTTATCTCCCCTTTTGGCAGAATATGACTCACAGATAAAGGAAATGCAGCATCTTATCAATGCATATGAGGTTAGCCACTTTCTTATTGTTTTAGACAAACAGCAATTGCCAAATATAAAGCTAGTGAAACTTTATTATTAAAGGAACTCCACTGTGGTCCAAAAGCCAACAAAATAAAAAATAAAATTTCTTACATAGACCAGCAGGGGCACTTTAAACAGACAGATAGGCAAAAATTAAATTTAGATATATACTTTAATAAATTTCGAAAATTGTATTTTTATGCTATTCTAAGCCAGGTTTGAGTTAATTTTTATGCTATTCTAAGCCAGGTTTGAGTGTAAGTATTGCAACTTTGGGTATTTTTTTCACAATTAGCATAATTATTATGGAAAACAGAGAAAGAGAATGTTCTGAAATTTTGCAGACAAGTTATTGATCTAGACCTACATAAAATGGAACATTAACCTTAGAAAATTATTTCCAGCAATCATCTTAACAAAAGACCTCAGTGCAGTCCCTTTTAATATGTCTTTGTAAAAAAAAGTAATAAGGATAAGGAAAAACACAGTAAAATATCAAATTGATATATGTAATAATTCTATTTTCATTTCAGTCTTTCATGAATAGGTTTAGGTATTGTTGTATTGTAAAGTTTAAAGATTTCAGTCATCTCAAACATATGAAAGAAGTAACAATAAATGTTCTAAAGTGCTCATTAGGATGAGTGGTTAAAGGGAGGTGACTTCAAATCACTTGTCCTCTTTACCAGTGGTTATTTTCTATGTGAGGAAGTTGTCCGGCTAGCTTAGTTATAGTCAGGTGCCTGCTGAAATATTATGTATAATGAGGTCTTTGATCACCAGTAAAGCTGGAAAGTCAAAATATGACCCCTAAACAGTATGAGTGAAACAATGAAATGCAATGTTTGTACATATTTTCAGAATGAGCTTAAAAGTTTGAGGCCAGAAGTTTCCAGGCTGGTACAAGAAAATGAACGGTATTTAAAATTTTGTATTTTAATGTGGTCATTTATAATTTCATTCCTCTGTCATATTTTTCAATTGCTAAAACATCTTATTTATTTTAAATGTTTTATTTGAGAAGTAAGTCATAAAAGTAGCAAAATATAAACTAAATAGTATTTTGTTCTCTGTACAAAATACTTATGTACTATATGTGTACTTATTGCCAAAAAGCAACAGATGATAAAGTTGGTTTAGCTTATTAGCCAGGAGTTAGATTAAAAAAAGTGTTGGAGCACCACACTAAATGCCATGTTCCGGAATATACTGGACAAGGCACTTGAATGATTAAATGCTAAAATCTCGCCATTTCTCACAATGAAATGAACTTTAAAACATCTAATTCATCTCTTCACACCGATTTATATACGATAATAAATGAAAATGTCAGAATCGGCGAAAAAAGTCATATTTTTCTACTTTGTGATCATGATTTTTTCAAGGGTCTATAGGTACTGCTCCAACACTGTAGTGAGTTAATCCATTAGCCAATGAGTAACTTTTGAAATACTATAAAAGTACACCAAAATTTAAAAGCTAGTGAGAAATGGAAATAGAAGCATTTCTGAGGCATAATTGGCCTAATACACTAGTGTAATATTGTTTTTATTAAATGGCTTTATTACACTCCTGTGGCTTGGTTTATGTGATATTATACTGTATTTTATTCTTGTTTTAAGACTAAATGAGAAACTGAAGGATGCTTTAAACTCCCAGCTACCAAGTAATGGTACAGGCGACACAGAGCCTTTACAAGGTGATGAAGAAATTCTACAGAATCTACAGATGCAAGTAGAAACAGTTGTTCAGGTATATATAGTCTACTTCCATAACATTTTACTGGTCCTGATAAATGTATAGCCTGTTTTATTTATGTATAATATGTGATCTGTCTCTCAAAAAGTTAAGTCTTTCATGTATATATGAGCCGCACCATGACAAAACCAACGTAATGGGTTTGTGACCAGCATGGATCCAGACCAGCCTGCGCATCCACACAGTCTGATCAGGATCCATACTGTTTGCTATCATTTTCTCTACTTGTATTGGATTTGTAAGCAAACAGCATGGATCCTGATCAGACTGCTCGGATGCGCAGGCTGGTCTGGATTCATGCTGTTTGCAAATGCATTAAGTTGGTTTTGTCATGGTGCGGCTCATTTTTCCAGTGCTGCATGGTGAATAGCCTTCAGGCCTTGACAAATCCTCTTGTCTGCTCGCATTTGCGAGTAAAGTTTGGGTTGAGTGAGAAAAAAAATTGATCAAACTTGCTTGATAGATTCTCTTGATGCAAATGATGTTTCTCTAAATATTTAATATAAATGAAGTTATGTGGTAAAAAATTTTTACTGCAGACACCAATTCAATCGTAATACTGTCCCAATGAAAACTGGAAATTGACCTAATGACAAGTATAAAACTTTACCGAATGTGTATGATGAATAGATTCCGTAACGACAGCAGCATTCAACAATTTTTTATACATACACACTCTATAATGTTTTATACTTAGCCATGAGGTTAATATTTTAGTGTGTTAAAATATGAATGGAATTATATTCAGGCTATGTTGAAGATTATATAATAATAATTATACAGTTTTATGAATATTATTTAACAATATGTCATTGAATAAACCAATTATACCGATATAGACCGATAATTAGTAAAATTGAGTCTTGTGTTTGATTTTTACATTGCAGGGAGAGTGGCCCAAATCCTGGTTTTTTCATTAATACATATAGACAGACAGCTAGTCATGCAAAATGCAAAGTCTGTTCCATTTAAATGTAAAAATTCTTGAAAGAGATGTGGTCTTTATCTTGATTTCAGCATAGCAGAAACTAGAAGGATTTAAATCATTTTGAATTTGTGAGATTTTGTTCAGCTTCTAGAATTTAGCAAACTTTATATCTTTATTGTGACAAAAATCCCAACTATAAATCATTAATTGTATTTTATAGGAGAAAGAGGCAGCTGTAGAAAGATGGCATGAGGCGGAGCAAGAGATTGATAGGCTTCAACATCAGTTACAGGTAACGCCTTTATCTTCTGTATAATCATTTCTGATTGGTCCTGTGAATGGTTCCGCCCTTATCTTTTGTATTATCATTTCTGATTGGTTCTGTGAATGGTACCACCTTTATCTTTTGAATAATCATTTCTGATTGGTTCTGTGAATGGTACCGCCTTTATCTTTTGTATAATCATTTCTCATTGGTCCAGTGAATGGTACCGCCTTCATCTTTTGTGAATTATTTTTTAACTGGTCTAGTGAATTGTACTGCCATCAACTTTTGTTATATAATTTCTGATTGGTCCAGTGAATGGTACTTTCTTAAATATTTGTAAAATCCTTTGAAATTGGACATTTAATGTTATTGCCTTGAAAGTTTGTTGATTAGCCCCTTAAATGTAATTTTCAACTGTTGTGAAAACAATCAAGAATGATCCACTACAAAATTAGAACACACATTGAGATCCTCCTAGTCTTATATGGACCAGTCTCATTATTGGAAATGATCTTTAAACAATGCTAGTAAGGCAAAAAATAAGTTTTACAAGCCAATTAGAAATGTGTTATTTTAAGTACGTAGAAACAAATTTCAATAGTATGGTGCTCTATAAAATGTTTTGCAAATTTTGCCTTAATTATTTTGAGGTTTTATGTTAGCTCCAGCTCTCACTGTAAGGCACAGCAACTTAGATATTGGTACTGTACAACCTCGAAAGATCATCACCAATTTGGAGGGAAATATTTTGGTTCTTGCTGAGTGGTCGCACTCTAGGGAGGTTATATTCAGTGTTTAATCTTAGTTTATGGAAGATTAAATTCTGTTGTTTGTAAAAGAGGTTATTGCTCTATGAAGGGACTGTTTTGCAGGGGTTACTGTATACTGTATTTTTTCTGTTACAGGAAGAGAAGAATAGTCATCAATGGGGTGTTATAGAACAACAAGCACAACAGGTAAAATATATTAAATCAATAATGATGTGACAAATGATGTAATATGTTGTGTCATCACTGGGGGTGAACCCCATATTTATATATCTCAATATTGAGCAAAGGTAAAATGTATGTGTGATTTTCCACTGATCTAGATGGGATCTTTATTGAATATTGATGTGACAAATGAAAATATGTCACAGGAAAAGATAAAATGAGATAAAAACAAAATTGTTAAGTGAGATAAAAAAAACCAAAGTATTATGAACTGGAATATTAGAGGTGATATCTGTCATGGGATTTATTCATATTTTATTTCAGATGCAATCAGAGTATTTTGAGACAGTAAACCTGTTGAACAGAGAGTTAGAGCAAGTGCAGACAGAGTTACGGTAAGTTACCTAAACTATAGAAAAACATGACAAGTGGTCTCATACATTGTAGTTGTAATTTCAATACAAAAATGCTTTTGTATATTAATTTGCTGTTGTGAATGATGTTCTTTTTTTTTTGAAAAGGCTTAAATTACAGGTTTGTTTGTATTTTATGTTTATAATGTACAGGATTTTGTCAGTATTCTATGTAAAGGTTTAGATAATATGTCTGTATTTTATGTGTCTGTTTGTGTATATTTTATGTATATATTTGTCTGTATTTTATGTGTAGGTTAGTGTGTATTTATGAATTTGTTTGTTTGTATATTATGTATAGTTTTGTGTGTATTTTATGTATAGGTTTGTGTGTATTTTATGTATAGGTTTGTCTGTATTTTATTTGTAGGTTTGTCTATATTTTATGTCTAGATTTGTCTGTATTTTATGTCTAGATTTGTCTGTATTTTATTTGTAGGTTTGTCTGTATTTTATGTCTAGATTTGTCTGTATTTTATGTTTTGATTTGTCTGTATTTTATTTGTAGATTTGTCTGCATTTTATGTCTTGATTTGTCTGTATTTTATGTCTAGATTTGTCTGTATTTTATTTGTAGGTTTGTCTGTATTTAATGTAAAGGTTTGTCTGTATTTTATGTATAAGTTTGTCTGTATTTAATGTTTAGGTTGTCTGTACTTAATGTTTAGGTTTGTCTGTATTTAATGTTTAGGTTTGTCTGTATTTTATGTTTAGGTTTGTCTGTATTTTATGTCTAGGTTTATCTGTATTTAATGTTTAGGTTTGTCTGTATTTAATGTTGAGTTTGTCTATATTTTAAGTCTAGGTTTGTCTATATTTTAAGTCTAGGTTTGTCTGTAGTAACTGTCTAGGTTTGTCTGTATTAAATGTATGAGTTTGTCTGTATTTTATGTCTAGGTTTGTCTGTATTTTATGTATGACAGGTTTATACAATAAATATACTGGTTAAGTAATATGTTAATACCTTTTTCTCTTATCTATCTAATGATTACAGCTTATTGACTTAAGATAAAAATACAAGAAAGTTGTTTTTCAACGGATTAAGTTTGCTTTTTATACTCACTGTGTGTTTATCATTTAAGTTTGTAGCAATTTTACCTTTGATACAATATATATAATAAAAAATACTAGAAGAAACGTTTTGAATTTAAGATTGCATCCATTTTACTTTACATTTTTAATTCTTGTATGATATAGGCAAACTAGACAAGAGTTAGAAACTGCCAGTTTACAAGTGAAGGATTTAAGAAGAACCAATAAAGATTTGGAGCAACAACTTAATTGGAAGGTAATTCTTGATTTTATGTGCCTTCTGTTTTATTATCTACAGATTTTGTTAAAAGTGCAATTATCATTATTTTGAGCCTGAACAGCATACTTGGTGTGCTAGTGGTTTGAAGTCAGGCCAGACATAAACTGGACTGTTTCAAATTTGGAAAAAAGTAAAGGCTATAACAAAACCCCACAGGGAAAAGCCATGTCATATATTGTCCTGGAGTTGAATTCCCTCAGTTTTGGATTGGACCGTTCCATATTTGATAAAAGGTAAAGTGTAATTCAGAAAAAAAAATGCACAAAAAGAGTTTAAAATATGTAAATGTAGAGTTAAATTGGACTGTTCAAAACCCATTACAGAAAATCAGCAAATATAAAATGATTTCCTTTTTGATAGAACAAAAATCTATGCCGTATAGAGTCAGGCCAGCCTGCACACCCATACAGTCTGACAAGGCATTTTACTGTTGGCTGACTTACTTTAAATGTTCATCATGATATCCCATTATTTGATAATTGACATTTCCATACATAGAAACTGGTTCAGTCAATGTAATGAATGAAACAGGCCAAAGAGTTAAAACCTGCACTTTAAATTTGAAAATTGAATTTCTTAAAATAAGTTATTGTATTATTTTGTGATATAGGATCAAGAGGTAGCTGAGGTGATATTTAAAGAAGGTATTACAGATAGTAAGGTGAATGAACTAAAACGTATTATGGACGATAGAAAAAGAAGGTTTGTGATGCTTTGATTAGTAGTTGCTTTTATATATAGGGTATTTATGACAGAAACTTATAAGAATGTAATAACATTTTAGAAATTCACTGCAGTTAAATTCTAGTTTAATTAAAACAATTATAAGTTTTACTATTCAAATAGAATTTTGGCTGTCCTACTCTCACTATATAGTTGACCTTTGTAGAATAATTGTTTGAGGGTCTGTGTTCAACTTCATATATTATTAACAACTGAAAGTATTTCCACAAAACTTCATAGGTCATTGTCCATCTTATTTAGACTAAATTGTTCCCTATTGACAGCTTGTTAATTGTCTTGTTAAGACTTTGTGTACAAAGTTAAGAAATACAACCTTTGAAAATGTCCACTTGAATTTTCACACGTCATTGGGGTCAAAATTATGATGATGACCTGTCTCCAAGGTCAGTGCGACACTTAGAGGTTAAAGGTCAGCAGTTAACAAATCTTGTAAATATTAAATTGAACTCCCATCATGGCAAAATGTAACATAATTTGTACTTTTGCCTGTGAATATTAAAAAATTATTTTTATCAACAGTTATTGGTCCTCTTACTTTAAAAGGTCTTTTATTGCAGATAAAAATATGTTTTTTGTGCCCTAACATATATCGGGGTCATTAGTGTCTTTCAGACTTTACCAATTTAGAAATTTACAGCATTGCACTTATTTTACTGTGAAACTGAGTATATTTAAACATGCTGTCAATCTGACAGGTCTTATTATGAAATCTTAGATTGTAGAAGTATATTTAAGTGAAATGAGTTTGTTATGTTTTTTTCAGAATATCTGGTTTAGAAGCAGAAGTAGAGGAGTTCAGGAGAGACAAACAAGCCCTGGAAGTTAGAATTACAGAAATGCAAAAACGAAAGTAATTGATTTTCTTGTAGTACTTTCCCCATAGATTTATGTGTCTGAAAGTATATGGTTCCTCTACTTTAGCCCTTAATTTGCTGGAACCAAAAGTGATTATCCTTGGATAAAAGTTTGAAAAACTGTCTGTATTTTGTCAGATAAGGTTATTGGTCAGTATCTGGACAGACCTATCCCATATGTTTGTCCAGTTTTTACATTGTTAGCTACACAAAACGTAGGGGCGTCCGTGGCTGAGTGGTTAAGGTCGTTGACTTCAAATCACTTGCCCCTCACCGCTGTGGGTTCGAATATCGACAGGGACTTTGGATTCTTTCATGTGAGGAAGCTATCCAGCTAGCTTAAGGAACGTTGGTGGTTCTACTCGGGTGCCCGTTCGTGCCTGAAATAATGCACGGAAGGGCACCTGAGGTCTTCCTCCACCAGTAAAGCTGGAACGTCGCGATATGACCTATACTGTGTCGATGTGACGTAAAACCCAAAACAAACAAAAGCTACACAAAACCACTTTTTAGCTCGACTTTTCTATGAAAAGGGGAGCTATCCTACTCGCCCCGGCGTCGGCGTCGGCGTCACACCTTGGTTAAGTTTTTCGTACCACCCCACTTTATTTCAGAAGTATTACAAGTATGGCTTCGAAACTTACCATACTTGTTCACCATCATAACCTCCATCTACAGACAAGAGTACATAACTCTGTCAAGGTTTTTGACAGAATTATGGCCCTTTTTTGACTTAGAAAGTGTATTGAGCTTGGTTAAGTTTTTTGTACCACCTCACTTTATTTCAAAACCATTGGAGGTATTGCTTTGAAACTGACCATACTTGTTTACCATCACGACCTTCATCAACAGACAAGAGGACCATAACTCTGTCAAGGTTTTTGACAGAATTATGCCCCTTTTTGACTTAGAAAATACATTGAATATGGGTAAAATCCACTTATTGCCTTAACCCTTTGAGATATTGCTTTGAAACTTTTTAATGCTATTTCACATCATTACCCCATCTGTACGCAAGAGAAGGTAACTCTGTCAAGGATTGTTTTTAAAAATTAAGGCCTTTTATCGACTTAGAATCTTGGTTAAGTTTTTAGTACCAGTCCACTTTTTGACTGAACTGTTTGAGATATTAATTTGAAAGTTGGAATACTTGTTTACAATCATGATTCCCAAACATGTCCAGGAGAAGGTAATTCTGTCAAAGATTTTATTTGAATTATGGCCCTTAACTGTCAATGTTTTGTATTATAGGCAAGCACTAAAAAACTTAAAAAATCTAAAAAAATTCATTCCTATCCACTTGTTCACTTTACCATAAATTATGTCATATAAACATTGCTGTAATATTCAAGGGTATCAAACAACTAGTTCACTTTAAAAATACAGAGATTCTTGTATTGCCTTTTACTGCAAAAACTTTTTTTATTGGCAAGCAATAAAAAAGTCGAGCGCGCTGTCTTACGGACAGCTCTTGTTTCATATCAAACTTACTTAATATATTGAGTGGTGTTTTCATATTCAAAGCACACTTGTCATTTGTACAAAATCAGATAATTGGAGTTAATATTGATGTAACATTGCTTAACATTTTCACTCTCTAAATAAGTATGCTATTTCAATATTTCAGTTCTGATTTTTCAATGTTTCAAATCTGATATTTCATTCTTTCAGTTCTGATATTTTAATGTTTCAGTTTGAAATTGTTATTTTTCAATTTTGACATATCAATATTTATTTTCTGATATTTCATATTTTCAGTTCTGATATTTCAGTGTTTCAGTTCTGATATTTCAATGTTTCAGTTCTGATATTTACAATGTTTCAGTTCTGATATATTTCAATGTTTCAGTTCTGATGTGGCTAACAGAGAGTTGGAGGCTGTTGCACAGATGAGGGAAGCTGTACAGATGGTAGAGACTGCGGCCTTAGAGAAAGAACAGGTTAGTAAAGTTTGAGACTGTTTAAGTTATTTTAATAGCCTATTAAAGTGGCATTATTCCCATTCAAGTATAAATTGTCAGTAAACAAGTAAAAATAAAAATAACTGGACATTTTGCCATATTTGTGTTTTGGCATGAAAAACAAAAATTAATAATCCACATGACCAATGGAAATTTCTGTAAATATTGTTTAGAATGTATTCATAATGCTCAATTATGTGGGGCATGCTCAATTATTTTGGGCAGTCTTTCTATAATTTAGGTAGCTTTGTATTGTATCATACACATTTTTCATAATCAATTATTGGTCAGTCACTATTATATTAGCAAATCTGTTGAAATATATTACTATTTCAACTGTACTTGATGATGAAAAATTGAGCTTAGTGTCACTATAAAAGCTGAAGCAGTATAAGTTTTGATATTTTCGTTATTATATGTTATACTAAATCGGTATATGTTTGCTACTGTAGGCTGAAGTATCCCTCCAGCAGAAAGATGAGGAGTTGGAACAACTACGTGAAGTTATAAATAAACTGATAAATGAAGCTGGTGCTAGGACAAGACAAGAGGTAATACTGGTTTGTTGATATATCTAGTAACACCAAGGGGTGAAGTGTACATTGAAATTTATTTATAAATTGCAAACAGCACTTACAATCCATGTAAATTACAATGAAGAGGTTAAACTATGCAACAAATACCCCTTACTGTGTTAGTCTCACAGTACTTCAAAATGGAAAAAATCTGCAAAGGATGATAAAGAAATATACTAAGAATTAAATTGATAATTAATAAAATGTGCGATTCTTAGCCTGATTTGAGTTTTTGGGGTCATTTTGCACATTAATAATGACTATTTTTGTGTGAGGGAATGACCTTAAAATTTACAAGTTATTGGGCCAGACCTACATCAAATGGTACACAAATCTTGAAAAAATATTTTCAGTCCTGACATGTAAAAAAATCCTCAGTGGAATCCCTTTAATCTATGTGCTACCAGCAGTCTATTTGGCAAATATGTCAGTGATTATATTTTTTTTTCAAAACAGCCTCTGGTTTTGTGAAGCACAATAGACCCAAAAAGTGGGGGGGGGGGATTTTAGATCAAACTCAAACAACTGAGAATGGAATTTACTCACACATTTTATAAAATTTTCAATTATCATACAATTTAACATGCATTGTACATAATAAAAGCTATCTATTGGGACAGCTTTATGTGTGTCAGTCATTAAGGTTTATTTACTGGCTGATATAAGTCAGTTGCTGTTTAGTCATGGTTCTGGTGAATATAGTGCACAGGGCATTTCAGGGGAAATATAGCATTTTTTTGGGGGGGGGGGGGGTTATACCATTTTTGGGCTAGGGGAAACAGCCTTTTATATTCGGCTTGTAAAATATAGGGAGGAATCAATGTACAAGTATGTAATAAAGTAGAAAACTTGTTGTTTCAGGTTGATCAAGTACGAGCACAGTCTAATGACAGGATACAGAAACTTACAGAAGAAGTTCACGCACTAGAGATGGATAATTCCGAGAAACAAGACAATCTAGAGAAAGCCATCAGAGAGAAGAGGGCGGCCGAGTCTGAGCTGGAAAAAGTAAGTTTATTATGAATTTATTCTTAACACTTTAAATAGGTTATATAAAAGAGTAATCTATATATAAATCTGTGTAATACTGCATGCTTGTAACATTTTCATTAGATAATCATGATGTTTATATAGTTTTGTGAACATGGCTGCTGTCAATTTATAAAGAAATCTCACTTTTTTCTCTAAAGAAAAATATGCTTGCTGTATTATAAATTCATAATAAATATTTGTGACAGGTAATATAGCTGTATATAAACAGTTGTTTGGAAATATAACCATCACCTTGTGACTTCAGTTATATTTCCAAACAACTGTTTATATAGGGCCATATAACCTGTCAAAAACCTTTATAACTAATGGTATAACTATTTGTAAAGCTATCTACATTATCCAGTGTTAGAGTTGAAATACATAGTGTAGAGAGTCCTGTGAGAAAAGAATGTGATATTGACTGTTCAGCTATAACTTAAGTTGCTCTAAAACCTAGTTGGCTTATCCATTGATAATGTCTTATTTTCTGTCAGGTGTATAAAGAAGGGGTTAATCAGATGAACAAAGACCAGGGAAGTTTTGAGAACATGAACAAACGTGCCATTAATGCTGAGAGAGCTAGAGATGATGCCAACCTTCTAGTAGAAACATTACAACATAAACTGAAAAGGGAGGAAATGAAGTAAGTCATGAATAATGTGAAATAGTGTGTTAATGAAATAGAATAATTGTGAAAACCTTATAGCATAACTGCATGAAGGAAATGAAAATCAAAAGATTTACAAACAAAAAGGTGTTGAAAAAAGTCACTACTTTTGGAGGAAAACCTCAGGTGACCCTCATAGTAGAACCACCAAATTGAATGTTCACAAAGCTAGCTGGATAGTTTTTTGTCATGAAAGTATTCAAAGTCCCCGGATGGATTTGAACCCACAACAGAGAAGGGCAATTGGTTTGAATTAAATGACAGTCACAACTTGGCAAATGATGCCCTATTTTGAAAATATATGCAAACACTACCAACAAAGGTTCTGCATAGGCAATTAATTTTTTAAAGCCCAGTTTTCTTCTTGTTGAGGTAAATTGACAGATCTGAGAGGGTTTATTTTTCGAAACCTTTGTGAATCTGCATTTTAAAACAAAATATGTTGTAACTTTTATCTGTATGGTTATGGTTCAATATCTGACTATATTTTAGCTAAAGTTTTGCATATTTGTGAACCGGAGGGTTTGTAGCATGTATAATGTCTTAACGGGAGTGTCAAGTAAATCATTATGACGAAAAGCTGAAAATAACATTATTTTTAACTGTTTTGGCCTTCCATACTTTTTTCCGCAGTGCTCAACAGTTAAAGGATCAGCTTGAGGGTCAGATAAACAACTACAGGGAGAGAATGTCGAGTTTACAACAAGAGTTTGAGAATGTGAATGATGATAGGGTTAAATTACTAGATGATATGGATGTCTTAAAGAAGAAATTACAGTCAGCTCAACAAGAGAAAGAGGCAGCTCAAAGAAAATACCAAAAAGAGGTTATCATGTTTTTTATATTAGTTAATACAAATTTATTTTAGTTCCATTGTGTCGGAAGCTTTTTCACTTTTTGAAAAGCAATATGGCTCAATCACTACTCATGATCACTCAGGTGCTGATTTTTTCAGTATAAACTTAACATTTGGTAAAGATTTTGTTGTTAACTATTACATCATTCACCCATCTAAGGTATTCACTTGAAACATTATACCTGTATTTTAAATTATTATTTTCAATCTTTACATGTTTTCTTTTTTCATGAGTAGTTTTGTTTACAGTTTTATTTTATAGGGCACTCTTATGATATTCAAGGGCTGAGTCTTTTAAACAGTCCTGCTTTGATACATGTAGTAAAAAGAAAAATCATTTTTTGGCCAAAATAATGTTTTGGTACTTGGACCATCAGAATATTTCATTGGTGGGTAGGAGAGGGGTAAACAGAGCATGGTTTACATAATTTTATAATAATATATTATAGAGTGGGTTGGAAGGTGTTTACAGACAATGTTTCCTTTTCATTTTTGGTTGGTCCGATCAAATAATGTGCACTATTTCATTTTATACCTGAGCGAATAGATTAAATGTTATATTATAAATTACTACAGACCTGAGTGAATGCATTAAATGTTTTATTATAGATTACAATATATGAACAAGAAAACAACATGAAGATCAGAGACTTTGAAGTTAAATTACAATCTACTGAAGATGTTAACAGACATTCCATGTCAGAACTACATAAATTATTAAATGGTCAGCAAAGAATGTGTGCCAGGTATGATTATCATTAATTCTAAAACAACCCGCATTTTTACCTGCTGAACATAGAAGGACCGAAAGTGTGTGTTATTATGCAATAAAATCATTGTTTTCATTCAAATGTACATCATTATATAATTCCTCGCATCCAAACTCCAAACAGTGATTTTATTTGGGGATGTATTATTTCTTAAATAAACAACTGGTTGATTTAACATTTATGTTTCCATACAGGCATGAATGAATAACTTCTACCTATGTTGTATAGAATCTTAATCCCTTTCCACTCACAATATATTTAATGGACTTGTCCATCTTTCAATCTGAATCTTATCTTTTATTATAATCATTTTTTAGGAAAATTGAAAAATATTTTTAATGACTGAAAAGCAAACAGTGTTTACCATGATCAGATGGTACAAATGTGATGACTGATTTTGATCTGCACTAAGTGCATAGGTAGAATCAGTTGGCGAAGGTGGCGTGGGGGAGGGGATTGCTACATCAGTCAAATTGTGAATTTTGACACCATTTTGGAAAAAATAGCAATTTCTGCTTGTGAATAATTTGCTTGTTTACCAAACCCATTAGATGAGTAGAAAATGAAGGAAAATAATTTTTCATTAATTTTATTAAAAAAAAATTATTACTTTCTTCACAGATGGAAAGAAGAATGTACAAGTATTGCTCAGAAATATGAAACTAAGGTAACAGATCTCAGGTCAGAAATGGCTCAGCTTAAAAAGAGAAACCATGAAGTGACTAAACTTCTCAAAGATAGTCAAGAAAAAACTATACAGGTAAAGAAAGCTTTTACTGTCTTTGAAAAAGTGTCACACAGATATTTTCCTGTACAACTCTTATAAGCAGAGTTGTGTTAAAGTAATTTATGAATATGATCAGAAAAAATGCTTGTAATTTTGAGGGTCATTTGAGGGTCAATTTTATGTGGTCTGTATACCAAATGTGCGGAACACATGTTTAAATTCAAGTGGTTAAAAATCCAATTTTGAGCCCCTAAATCCAGCTGAAAATCCAGTTTTGCCCATTTTAGTTGCCAATGCACGCTATTGTTACCTGCTTTTTATTGCTATGGAGTGATATCCCTAGTTCTGACCTAAATACACAAAATATTGCCTATGCTGATCTTACAAGTGCTGTGTAGTTGATATGAAATTAAGAAAGCACAATTTATTGAATTGATAATTTTATTTTAATTTAAGGCAGAAAAGATGATACAGGATTATACACGAGGTATACAGAGAATGGAACAAAGAATGAGAGATTCTGAAAGTAGGGCAGCTGATGCTTCCAAACAGGTATAATATATGTTTCTAGTTTCATGCTTATTAAACACACTTTCATAATCATGCTTATAAAACATACCTTCAGAACACAACTGCTACATCATTTTAAATAAATACATCTCCAATATCATGTTAATTAAACACATCTCCACTATCATGTTAATTAAACACATCTTTAGTATCATGTTAATTAAACACATCTTTAGTATCATGTTAATAAAACACATCTCCTAAATCATGTTAATTAAACACATCCCCTAAATCATGTTAATTAAACACATCTCCTAAATCATTTTAACTAATCAAATCTCCAGTATCATGTTAATTAAACACATCCCCTAAATCATGTTAATTAAACACATCTCCAGTATCATGTTCATTAAACACGTCTCCAGTTTCATGTTAATTAAACACGTCTCCAGTATCATGTTAATTAAACACACTTCATACATTATGTTAGTTAATCACACCTTCTGCATCATGTTAATTAAACACACATACATCATGTAACTTAAACACTCCTTCATCATGTTAATTAAATTAACATACATTGTGTTAATTAATCACACCTTCTGCATCATGTTAATTTGATACACAAAGTTTACATCATGTTTATTAAACACACATACATCATGTAAATTAAAACATCTAAAACTCAAGCGGATTAAACACACTTTCAGCATCAAATTAATAAAACATACTTCCAACATCATGCTAATAAAACATACCATTAAAATGATTTTGATTAAGCACACATCAAGAATATTGCTAATACAGCACACCTTTAGATTAATGTAAGTAATGCATATATTAATGAAAATTTAAATATTTGGAATAATAAAAATATTGGATATATTTTAAATGATAAAAATATTTTGTGTATAGTGTGCAATTAAAGTACTTTATTCTAGCATATTGCACTATTAGCCAGCATTTTATAACCTGTTGTAATAGAAATAAAGAGCACCAGTAAATATAATTGTAGTTATCTCGACATATATTGAGAGAGAAGCAAATGGAGAGCGAGAGAAGAAGTTTATCTCAGGAATTAAAACGTAGTCAGATGGATGCCTCAACTAAATCTGTTAGGTAAGTTATCAGTCTTCTCTAGAGATTATATAATTGAGCCGCGTCATGACAAAACCAACATAATGGGTTTGCGACCAGCATGGATCCAGACCAGCATTTGCATCCGCGCAGTCTGATCAGGATCCATGCTGTTCACTTACAAACCCTATTACAAGTAGAGAAACAGATAGCAAACAGCATGGATCCTGATCAGACTGCGTGGATGTGCAGGCTGGTCTGGATCCATGCTGGTTGCAAACCCATTATGTTGGTTTTGTCATGACACGGCTCAAATTTTGATTTCCTGGATTGGCACTTTGTTGTTGTCATATTGCAGATTATCTGTGATGTTATATCTAGTATTTAATATGATTCTGTTCTATTCTGGTATCCAGGTTAGTCGTGCAACAGGGGCCAGTTTCTCAAAGCTCTGTTAGATTTAACTGTCTGTAAGTGGATTTAACAGATGATTAAATTTAACAGAGATTTAACTGGCCCCAGTCGTATAAAGACTTTAACTTGAACAGATTAGTTGAACACATCATTCTGTAAATTTTAAGTACACAATTATTTCTTTATAATGTTTTGATAATGAATTTTGTGCAAGTCTGGGCTCAGGGTTTAGTGCATGGTCGGAAGCACTTATTTTGCTTGTGGTATGTACCAATAGTCTACAATAGTAAACTCTACAATTATGATACTTTCCTATAGTCACATACTGGTAAAAGCTGGCCTCAGTGACCAACTGGTGAAGGTTTTCAACTTTAAATCACTTGGCTATGACAACTGTGAGTGCAGATCTGGCTATGAACTTTGAATTCTACCTTGTCAGAAAGCTATCCAGCTATCTTATGGAATGTTGGTGGTTCTGCTTACTTGTCCACATGTGTCTTAAATAATGCTTCGAAAAGCACAGTAGGTATTCTTTCACCAGTATAGCTGATATGTCGCCACTTGACCTTTGTGGAATTGGTGTGACTGAACATCCCAACAATGATTAAATTTCCGAACAATATGATCATTTGTTTGTAAAAAAATTGACTTTGAAATGTTGGACATGGTCTTTACAGCAGCATGCCCCCAGATGCATGATAACTTTTGCAAATGTTTTTAAAGGTAATATAGTGTGAATTATTTAATTTTACCCATGAAATATTGTGCTATATCAGTCAAATATATTTCATATTTTTTTAAAAATATATATAAGATATAAATATGAAAGTGGCCGCAGTCAAAACTCATATTTATTTTAAGGGACTTCTTTCGCCATTTTGTTTGAAAAATCCGATAAATACAAAACAACTTTTTCTTGAATTTTGTTTTGAAAACTATCTAGAATGATAGAAAATGGTCGAACTAAGAAAATTAATCCTAACGCCAATATCTTTAATTCAGTAATTAACGCTGTACAGATGTTTAAAGAGTTTTTTATATGACTTCACAATGTAGGGCCAAACAGTGCATGCTTACACATAAATTACTGCGCGCTGTACAAATTGGCAGTTGGTAGCAAGCATGGGGAATCATTACCATTTTCTTTGATAATGAAATAAAATAAAAAGGTAATTTTTTTAGTTTTTCGTGAAATATGGTATATATTTTCACTCAACATGATAAAATGCCACATATTTTCACTCGCCGTACCGGCTCGTGAAAATATGTGGCATTTTATCATGTTTCATGAAAATATATTCCATATTTCATGCAAACGAAAAAACATCCTCTTAGTAAAAAAAGAAAATAATTTTCACATTGCAATCGGCTCATATAATACACTTAAATTACCGAAATGAGGTCAAAATCATGCAGTAGTTGGTTGACACTGCTAAGTCAGGCCTGAATTGCAGCATGTAAATTATCAATGGATTTTTTAATCTTAAATTTTTTCAAAATTTTTGTACACTTCTCAAATTTGATTTTCTTGAAATATTTTGACTCATCAAGAGGCATGCAGCTTTAAAATCTGTATCTGTTATTAATCACTTTAGCTGAATGTAAGGACCTAAGGTTTGTATACAACATGTATATATTACATTTGTCTGTGTGATATATCACTCAAGTTTAGTTACATTATGTACATGTATTCTATATGTGTTTTGGTATGTTTGAATCACAGATCATTTTACAGTCAGGTAACAAGTCCTGTATTTATGTTAACTGTTCTGTTTCATGTATACTATGATTGCACTGTTCTAAGCATGTTCTTTCCATTAACTTTCATATTTTATATCCACTCTTTCTAAAATTATGTTTGTGAAATATATATGTGTGTGTCTTTGACAGTTAATCAGTATATATTAAGATAGTGTCTTGTTCAGAATTTTAAGTTCTTTCTCACAAATTAGTAGACTAGTTACTTATAATCACAAGTGCTTACAGGAAAAAAGAATAACAGACATTGTGTGGGAGATGTTTAATTTTCAGTACTTTGAGAAAAAATTGTCAGTCTATAAAAAATGTTATTTTGCTGTAAAAATGTTAAAGATATAAAACAATAGATGATGTCTTTTAGTAATGGGGCTTTGTTGCAGTTGTCTTTGGTCAGAGGGGGTTATTTAACACAAATTTGATTGTACATCATCACCTTTGTGCAGTAACGGCTTAACACCATATATAATTCAATAGGAATTAGCCTGTTACTGCATTAAGGTGACATGTTTGATTTAACTACTAATTTTATATAAAAACAGTGGGAAGGAAAACAAGGTGATAAATGTATTGGTAAACAGTGTAAATATGAGAAATATAAGATAACTTTAACAGTCCTTTTGCATTTTAATGGTCTTTAACATTATGTTTTAAAAAAAACAACTATTGTGTACTTTTTAATAAAAATATAATAAACACATGTATATTATTAGAATAGTGAAATGGACTGTCAGCTTTTGTTGTCATGTTATGAATTATTGTCAGATCAATGTTTACTTGAACTGAAAAAGACTCTAAAAAGATGAAACTCATATCCAAAATTTTAGGAGCCTAACTATAATGACAGATGTAATTAAATCATATGTGCTTTTGACAAAGGTAATTGCGACATCACACTTTTATTTCATCAGTTTCAGTGGGTCACATACAGTAACATATTCTTCAATAGTGCCTGATTATGATTTTGTTATTACTTTTGGTTTTAATTTACTTCGATGATTTAACGGTCATATTGTGTCTTATTACATACTTGTGCCACTTTTGTGACTCCATAAACATGCTATTGCACAGTCATGCATATACATGTGGATTGATTTGAGGCCATTTGTGTTATACAAACATAGTGTTAAAAGGTGGTAAATGATACTTTTAGCCTGTCAATGAAAAAGGTGAATCTTTTTTACTGTAAACAGTTCTTATTTTGGATATTTGAATATTTACTTGTGAAGGTTGACCTCAGGTGCTACTCTTTGCATTTTTTCAGACACAAGCTGAGGCATCTGAGGAGGACAGCTAACCTTTTGTTAGCTTGATAGCCTGCTCAGATAAAAGTTCATGTCAGGTTTTGAACTTCGAGTGGAGTGCTATGGCTGAATTAAATTCAGTAAACACTCACCACAGTTTTAATGACTTAAAATCTAAATAAAATCTCTTCTTTGTATTGAAATTATGAAAGTAAGAACTTTGTTCCAAACTAACAAAAGAAAGTTATATGTACAATTGACAAATAGAATTATTTTATATTCATGTCACTGTGTAACAAATGTACGCATAAATTAATTGTAGACGTTTATATGATTAAAAGAGGCGGTAAGAAACCTTTTATTTTATTTCAGAAGTCACCCAGATGATTTACATATAGCAGATCTTGCCGCAAGTCACGGTTCAATGAACGGATCAGTCCGCAGGAAAGGAGAATTAGACCAGTACATTGAGGACAGATGATAGATAACTTATAGCATTATAGTATCCCATTGTTCCAGTTTCATCATGTTGACCAAAGTCTCATTATAGCTCTTGTCAAGTTTTACATTGTTTACCATAATCACTTGTTTTTGATATATATGCAACCTTTAAAGGCCTGTTAAGCCTCAAAAATACTATAACTTGAGTTCTCAAAAGCTTTTTACTTTAGTGTCTTGTTACAGTTTCCGAAAAGTAACTCATGGGTCATATCACTGATCACTTTATTGTTTCTTTGTTGTTTTGGCTATTAGTACAGTTATATTGACAATTAGTACAGTTAAATTGGCAATTAGTACAGCTATAATGGCAATTAGTACAGTTATATTGACAATAAGTTCAGTTATATTGACAATTAGTACAGTTAAATTGGCAATTAGTACAGCTATAATGGCTATTAGTACAGTTATATTGACAATAAGCACAGTGATATTGACAATTAATTCAGTGATATTGACAATAAGCACAGATATATTGGCAATTAGTACAGTTATATTGATTTTTGTCAAAATACAATTTTGTTTACATTTTGCTACCTGTATGACAAATATTTTCTAGCACCTGACATGTCCTGAATACATGTACATTTGTACTACATTTTAATACTCAAGTTTGCCCTTTCTGCAGAATGAAAAAGAAAAATATCTAAGCTTAATATAAAAGATTTATACTTTACATATCAATAGCATATTTGTGCATACATATCACATTATGTGCAAATCCAAATTAAATTTACCTTAACATTGGTGTGTCTTCTGGAACAATATTGGCATAGACCAATGCCTGTTATTAATGTATTTAATAATAAAGGAAGGGATGCTCTTTACTCATTCATAGTTTTTTATCATTTGACTTTTTTATCATGACACATGGTTATAGGCATTTAAATGATTCCAAACTATTTTCCATCCTAGGTAATAAAAAATTGATTAATATAAGTCCATGTTTCTGTTATTGATATTTAGGCTGCTTAAATACCATGGAAACAGGTTAAAATCATTGGTGCATTTATTTCTACAGAATATTTAAAGCTGATTTCACTTTGTGGTTGGTTTGAAGATGGTTTGAAGATCTGTTCTCAAATTTTTGTTTGTTTTTATATTTCTATGTGTTTATATTGACTGTGATATTAATGACATGTTCTACTGTAAGTGTTCTACTGTTTTACAATGTTTACTTTCAAGACATTTTCTTTTGTATTAATGTAATGTTTGGCATGGTTGTTCATATACAAAGTATGTGTATAGTTAAAAGTGAATTGGTCTACAATGGGTATATTTTCCATAAGTACGTCAAATATAGATGAAAACAATGAAAATGTATCAATTCGTATTCTAATGAAATATTTCTGGAAAGAAAATGTTATCATGTGGTTATTAGAGATCTAAAGTGATTTAGTAGGAACATATATATGATGAATAATAGCATTTTTTTCTTAATTACCTCCCATCTGTATTTGACTCTGAAATATTATACCAAAATTGTGCTGAACCCCAAATAGAACAAAATGATTGATCATTCTATCTTGTTTCAATTTTGTATCGGCCATTTTGTCCAATCCGTAAATTATGGCAAAATCGGCATTTGGGACCTGAGTACACCCGATGTACATCAAGCCTGTTTTTTCATATGTGAATCCAGCAGGGGAAAAATGCATGTATTCCATCCATAATTGAGCCGCTTCACGACAAAAGCAACATACTGTGTTTGCGACCAGCATGGATCCAGACCAGCCTGCGCATCCGTGCAGTCTTATCAAGATCCATGGTCTCGCTTACAAACCCTATAACAAACAAACAGCATGGATCCTGATCAGACTGCGCAGATGAGCAGGCTGGTCTGGATCCAGGCTGGTCGCAAACGCACTATGTTGGTTTTGTCGTGATGCGACTCATATGTGCCTTATACTAAACTATTTATAGTACTGTTTATTTTCTATTTAGTTAACATGTGTTAATAAACTATAAATGACCTTGCCATCTTGTTGTGATTTGTAATTATTAATTCTGTATATAAATATAGGAGTGATGATTTTATTGATACCACTTGTATAAGATATTGTATTTACTCGTCTATAAGGGGGATCGTCTATAAGTCGGGGGGCCTTATATGACAGGTGAACAATATGAACATTTACCGTTTATTAGCAAATCAATGTGTATGATTAAATCACTGTAATTTTATGTAGACTATATTGATAAATTAAGATATGAAATTTAGTTGTAGAATGATTAGAAATTTAAACATTTGTAATGAAATTAATCATAAATGTTTACTTGTTTGTATTGTTCATTTTAACTATCTTTTCTTTTGTTCAAAGTATTATGTCGTTATTTTTTTCAGACATAAGAATTAATTCAATGACGAAAGGAAATTTTATTAGGAGATAAGTGATTGCAAGGTATACTGACTATGGCAGAATATATTTAGAATATAGATCTGTGTTTAAAAAAAATGAAATAATCTAAAAAGGGAAAACAGTTTAATTTATGAGTAAGATAAGATCTGTGGTATTTAGTGCTGTTTTATTCAGTTCCATGTAGTATGTATTAACTTGTATATTTATTTAATAATGATAAGTATAGATTTGTATATTTATAATGGTATTTGTATCTTTACTATCTCTTCTATTAACTATGTTACAAAGAAAGGTAAAAAATAAATAATGTTAAAAATTAGTTGCCAGGGTTCTGTTTTTATTTTACCCGGATAGCATGGCGACATATTGAGATCACCTTTGTATCACATAGATATCATTTTTAGTTTAAACATATTTTAATGTATCAAATACATGGCAAATATTATACAAATGATGAGTATATAACAAAATACGAATGGGTTGTGCAACGTGTTCTAATAACATTAGATTAATCCCTTCCCAGATATTTAAAGTTCATGTGAATTCATTTAATAGGTTGTGTGAAGATATATCCTAATATTTTATATTTGTTTGTGTTTCAATATCCCACAAAACAACAAAATGTAGTAGTGTCAGTCTGGCGTAATTGAAAAAAAAAACTATGGCATATATCCACTTGAATCTTCAAAGATGAATAGAATCTCGTTGAAGAGATGTGCAGTTCTTAACAGCTAGAACTCGCTTTGCAGTAACTTTGAGTTATTGTCCTTTGTAATTTTTTATACTTAATGTTTGTCTTAGGCATAGCTATAAGTCTGCTGGCATCAACTCGGTCTACCTATACGACCAGAATAGTCGAAGATCAGCTGGCATGGATGTGCTGTCTGGGCATGGTCTACACTGTTTGCTATTCAGTCAGTACTTTTTATATTTTCAATAACCAGATTAAAAGATGGACAAGTCAATGTTTGATATTTAGTGTGGTAAGGGTTTTAGAGGAAATTTTTTTTGAATACCGTATTACAAAGTATGCGAAAAGGTCCCCATGCAAATAGTGTAAGACAAAATTAAGTTTTTTAGCTCACCTGAGCTTGCTCAGGGTGAGCTTTTAGGATCGGTGAATGTCCGTCGTCCGTCGTCCGTCGTCCGTCCGGCCGTCCACAATTACTTGTGAACACTCTAGCGGTCGCATTTTTGCCGCAATCATCATCAAACTTGGTCAGGATGCTTATCTAGTTGAAAGCTCGGATGAGTTCGAACATGGGTCATCTCGGATGAAAAACTAGGTCACAAGAGCTAAAAATAGAAAAACCTTGTGAACACTCTAGAGGTCACATTTTTTGACCCAATCATCATCAAACTTGGTCAGGATGTTTGTCTAGGTGATAGCTTGGATGAGTTCGAACATGGGTCATCTCGGATGAAAAAGTAGGTCACAGGAGCTATAAATAGAAAAAACCTTGTGAACACTCTAGTGGTCACATTTTTGAACCAATCATCATCAAACTTGGTCAGAATGCTTGTCTAGTCAATTGCTTGGATGAGTTCGAACATGGGTCATCTCTGATGAAAAACTAGGTCACAGGAGCTAAAAATAGAAAAACCTTGTGAACACTCTAGTGGTCACATTTTTGACCCAATCATCATCAAACTTTGTCAGGATGCTTGTTTAGATAATAGCTCGGATGAGTTCGAATATGGGTCATCTCGGATGAAAAACTAGGTCACCGGAGCTATAAATAGAAAACCTTGTGAACACTCTAGTGGTCACATTTTTGCATCAATCATCATCAAACTTGGTCAGGATGCTTATCTAGTTGATAGCTTGGATGAGTTCGAACATGGGTCATCTCGGATGAAAAAGTAGGTCACCAGAGCTAAAAATAGAAAAACCTTGTTAACACTTTAGCGGTCACATTTTTGCATCAATCATCATCAAACTTGATCAAGATGCTTGTCTAGGTGATAGCTCGGATGAGTTCGAACATGGGTCATCTCGGATGAAAAACTAGGTCACAGGAGCTAAAAATAGAAAAACCTTGTTAACACTCTAGTGGTCACAATTTTGACTCAATTGTCATCAAACTTGGTCAGGAAACTTGTCTAGGTCATTGCATGGAATAAATCGAACATGGGACATTTCGGATGAAAAACTAGGTCACAGGAGCTAAAATAGAAAAAATCTTGTTAACACTCTAGTGGCTACTGTTGTGATCCAAATATTCTGTTAATTGGTCTGAAAGTTTGTTTTGATGATTTCTAAGTCAAGATCGAACATGGGTCATCTTGGATGAAAAACTAGGTCACACCGCCAAATATGGAAAAACCTTGTTAACATTCTAGTGGTCACATTTTCGACTCAATTATCATCAAACTTGGTCAGGATGTTTGTCTAGGTAATTGCTTGGATGAGTTCGAAATCGCATGTGAAACTAGGTCACCGGAGCTAAAAAATAGAAAAATCTTGTTAACACTCTAGTTGCTACTGTTTTGATCCAAGTATCCTGGAAATTGGTCTGAAAGTTTGTTTTGATGATTTCTAGGTCAAGTTTGAATATGTGTCACCTGGGTAAAAAACTAGGTCGCACTGCTCAAATATGGATAATCCTTGTTAACACTGTAGTGGTCACATTTTTGACTCACCTGTCATGAGACTTGGTCAGAATGCTTGTCTAGGTAATTGTTTGGATGAGTTTGATAATTCAGGTGAGCGATCTAGGGCCATCATGGCCCTCTTGTTTGTTGTTTTTTTTTTTCAATTTTCCTACATTGTAAGTGTTGTTTGCAATGTGTTAATTACCTTCTTTTTAAAAATGTTCACTGAAATTAACATGAATCTGGATTCTGGAGGCATACTGTTTCAAATATTTTATGTAACACTACATGTATAACATTTTGTAATTTTATTTTGCAATAACAACAGCTGTTGGAATGACACTAACACAACACCATGCTGAACGTGTATAAAAAATAAGATATAAATGAGGAAAAGCGGCAAAGGCCAATTGAATTTTTTTTCACAATATTTTTTTCGAAATAACCATAATTAAAAAAAACAAAAAAACTTAAAAACATATGTGACATAATACTTTACCGTTATTAAGATAGTTTGTAACAAACTTCATAACTGGGTATCTTCCCTGAAAGATTTCTTTTCATAAAATTCGAGCGTACCTATATCGCTCCAACTGTCCAGTGCTCTTGTTACATCATCATTAGAAAATATTTTCGCTATGAGCAAAATACATTTTAAAGCATTTCGAATGGTTCAGAAGACTTGGGTTGAAAGAAAATGTATTCTACCCATTCTTAGCTAGGCTTTCTACTTTTTTGAGTAAGTTAGTACCTTTACAGCATAAGCAGTTGAAATCTACCCAAAACTTTGAGCTACACAGTATGTAAAGAACAAAGTTAATTGCGTTGTTTGTATACATTAATAAATGCATTACAGTTCCTATGAATTCAAGTCTTGCATGCCGCCGTGACGTCATAGTTTCCTCTGGGAACCAGTAAGGCTGGCCAATGGCGAAAATCGTGAAAGGGGAAACACACACAATAAAAGTCCCACTGAGAAAAATCGCTACTTTCGTAAAGTATGAAACCCTATTTGTGATTGTACTGGACTTTCTTCTCCTTGGCCGGTAAAAAGATTGTTGTAATGTACAGGATTTTCTAAAGTGTTCACTTTCTTTAATTTTCCTTAGCACAATTATATTCCCACAGAGTAAGACGCAGAATGGAATCGCAAATGCGAAAAGGAAATCAATCCATGGCCAAATTTTAAACATGAAATAATAAATTTCATTTTTTGCTACTTGACAGCTTGTTTTGTTGAATGACAGATCATAATCTAGTGTAAATCCATAAAGAATATGACTGTTCAAACAGGCTAGGCATACAACACACAGCAATGATAAAATCAAAACATTTCTTCTCGTAAATATACGCCTGACCTTATGAATGTATAGTACGCTACAGATACGTTCAGCCGTTAAAATAACTAAAATCCAAGGTGATAGCTGCAGTAAAAAGTAAGTCAAATACACATGAACTTTACATGTTACGCTAGAAAAGCTCCGAATGTCTACTTCAAATACAGACTGCAACCATTTCACAAACACAACGAAGACAAGAATCAGACTGTCAGTAAAAGTAAGAAATATCAACATTACACCAGTTGAAGTCTTCCTGTGTTTCACCTGTGCTAGAATTATCAAAGAAGCAATGTTTCCGGTCAATCCAAAGATGATTAAAATTGGAGGATATATCATTTCTATACTTTCAGCCATTCGATAGTCATGATAGTCCTTTAAATCCATGCTGTTAAACATGTACGTAACTTTCATGTACAAAAATAGTTATCCGTTAAATTGTATTAAATGTATTTGACCCAATTTATTATTCTTGTAAATATATCACAATGAAAAAAATTGTATTAATATCACAATGAAACTCAATATACTTATAAAGTTTACTTATTAAAAACCTCATCCTTTATATGAAAAAATTCCCAAAAAATCATGCTTGTTACCCCCAAAAAATTTACAACATACATAAATAGTGGTTTTCCGGGATAAAACATTTTTTTGCATCCTGCTTTAATTATCCCCCCCTTTCCCGGGGTTTTTAAAAAAGGGTTTTTCTTATTTAAATTTCGAGGATTTATCAAAAAATTCTTGGCCCATGTTCTACCGGTGTCAGAACCCAATAATGCTTACTTTTCAAAAAATGCCCCCTACATCAAGGGACTTTTCCACCTGTGCTCCAACCTCTCTTTTTTGGGCCTAAAAGAACCCGCCCCAGAACCCCCTTCATTTCTTCCAAAAAGTCCAAAGAAGCTTGGTTTTTCAGTTTGGAAAAAAGGTTGAAATCAGAGAGGCCAATTCGGAGAATATGGGGATGGGAAATTTCAAGCCGATTTATTGAAGCCATCGAAATTGGGGTGTTGATGGCCATTGTCGTGGCAGGGGACAAAGTATTGAAAGGTTTTCCGTCTACTTCTACTTTTACGCGCGATAACTTGACGCAGTCGTCTCAATTCGTCTGCATAGTACGTACCGTTTATCATACGATCTTGCTCAAGTTAGTCAATCATGATTATCCCTGGCTATCCGAAAAATTGAAGCCATCATCTTCCCTGCTGATTACACACTCTTGAATTCCTTCGGAGGGGATGAGCCAGTGTGCTTCCACTGCATGCTCTGTTTCTTTTTTTTTATTCTGGATCGAAGTGATGGACCCATGTTTCATTCTGAGTTAAGATCCGGTAGATAAAATCAGATTTATTCTGGTGGCGAGACAAAAGATATCTTGCAATGTCAAGCCTGATCCGTTCTGGTCGTCAGTCAACAGTCTGGGGACCCATCTAGCGGAAACCTTTGACATGCCATAGACAACAGCCAAAATTGCCTGAACTGAACCAAAGCTTATACCCACTTCCCTAGCTATGCTTCGCAGGTCTCGCCTTCTATTGCACATGACATGATCGTGCACAGCTTCGGCAGTTTCATCGTTGATGGCCTCTTTTGGCCGCCCAGGCCGCTTATCATCTTCAATGCTCTCCCTTCCCCTCTTAACTGCCGCAGCCCATTTTGTTCATAGTATTATAAGAAGGGGACCCCTTTCCAAGTGTATCCATGAAGTCTTCATGAATTTCCTTGGGGGCATCCCTTTCTGACAGAGGTACTTCATAACGGCTTTGATTTTTTGGTCTAAATGATACCCCCTCTACTGATTAAAGTGTGTTTTTTTGTTACCTAATCTGTGTAAATCCATGTGTAACTCCGTCAGTAATCTTCAATGAGATATCGGCATCGACGTATCGGGTTTCGTGATGGTGAAAATTTCGGGCCGAGAAATTTTTTGATCATACCTTTATTAAAAAATAAATTTCATTTTTAATAAAACACAAAATATAACAATTACGCACATATCAGCACATTTATACCGCAGCAAAGATAATAAGGCACATACGACGTAGTCTGTACGTTGTTATAATGTAAATAGCGTTGACGTCTAAACACACTCGAAGGGCTTCAACATATTTGCCGGTACTAGGTCGGTTTTGCCGGTTAACGCGACACTAGGTCGGTGCCTTGAAACCTACTGATAAATAAGTATGTTTGCATACCACGAGGAGTCCTTTTATTGAAAAATTTCGGGTGTTGCTATCCGTAAGTGTATTAACAACATAAAAGTTTAAATAAAATATACACAATGAAGACATAAAAAAGGTGTTTTATATCATTAACTCAATTTAGGAATATGCGTGATGAAAATAAATGTTAGACAAATAGTTATACCTTAATGCACTTTAAATAACTAAAATAATAAGATTTCAAAAATGAGGTTGTCTTTTAATATTCATGACAATATGAGCATATATAGATATTTATACAGTACAGACCATACCTGTTCTTTATAACAAGACTAACAGTTGTTTTGTATAAACTTATATACATGTACAATAAGTTTTACAGAACTGTACAGTAGCAATATACAAGAGTGTATTCTTTTCTTAAGTCTAAATTCACTCAACTTTAAAGTGCATGCAACTGCTTCGTGCACATACCTTAATACTTGAAACAGATTCAATTTAAGGGCGAAACCTGTTTTTGCATACTCCTACATAAGTGCAATCCGCTGCAGTTGCAAGCGCAAATATACCTTAAATAGATTTAATTTAGGAGTGCAATCAATTTTTGTATACTTCTAAATACCCTAAACATATTCAAATTATGAGTACAAACCGTTTTTACACGAATAATTGCGGTATAGTTGGCCTAGTGGTTAAGGCGTCCTCCTTCGGATTGGGAGGTCGAAGGTTCGAGCCCTACGGGAGCGTTAATTGAAGGATGAATGTTTCTCGTGGAACTCGTTCCGAAATGGCCGCTTTCAGTAGGGGTGACACTATTTTAAACACGACCTTACCTTTTATAATTCAATTTAAGAGTGCAACCCGTATTTGTACACATCTATGCACATTTAATAGATACATTTTAACAGTACAACCCGTCTTTGCACATTCATTTTTACTTCAAAAGATACAACTTTATAGTATAACACGTTTTGCAAACACCTAAATACAATAAAGAGATTCAATTTAAGAGTACAAACATTTTTTAATTTTTTGCACACATGTATAAACCCTTAAAAGTTAAAATATAAGAGAACAACCCATTTTTGAACAGGCATAATTACCTTATATAGACTAAATTTTAGAATGCTGCCTGTTTTTTGTACATACATAAATATCTTATAAAAGCTAAACCGGTTTCTGGACATTCATATATAACTTAAATGGATTCAATTTAAGAGTGCAACACGTTTGTGTCAACACCTTTTTACCCAAAATAGAGTCTTTATGAAAGTGTAACCTGTTTTGCACAAACCTATATGCCATAAAGAGAGTTACCCGTTTCTTTACATTTGATAGATATAATTTAAGAATGCCAATCCGTTTTTTACACACACATCAATACCTTATAAAAATTGAATCTAAGGATGCAACCCGTTTGTGAACATACATTAATACCTTAATTAGATTCAATTTAAGAGTGTAACACGCTTTTGTTTACATCTGTATACACTAAATAGATACTGTCCTAGGATGATAACTTGAGCCTTTGTTTACATAACAAAGACCAATAACAATGCGAAAAATAGGTTAGGCAGATCAATGCCACAACCTATAAAAATGAAATTAAAACTACAAGTTATAATATGTCTTGTTAGCGCAGTAGGTAGAGCATCCGTGTCAGTAACATATTACCCGTACAGGCAGAAGTTCGACTACTGGTAATACACTTCTTTTTTACCTTAGAAAACAGCCAATTGTTCAGAAAACAAGTTTGACTGTTTTTTCCAAACATACATGAATATGAGATCGAATATCTTATTTAAACACTGCGATCAAATAAATACAAAAAGAAAATAGAATAGAATTAAAAAATTAAATATATACTACAAAATACATATTATAAGAATAAAAACAAAAAGGAAAACGAAAAATAATATATAATAATGATAAAAAACAGAGCAATAAGAAAAAACTGTGGTTATAAAATGGCACTACGTGGGGTTCGAATCTATGAATACAAAACACCAAAAGTGCCAATAACTTCGATCTCCTGGCAGAGCCGTAAATGTCATACACCAACGATACTGTAAGAATAATGTTATAAAGTATATGTAAGTGCTTACTTTTACGATATCAGATAATAATCCAGATAACCCCGTTTTTGGACTTTCTCATGTACCGTTAAGACTAAATCATCATCTTAGGACAGTACAATGTAAGAGTGCAACTTGTTTTCTTATACTTATAAACATATATTTATGTATGTAAACAAATGGATTGCATTTTTAAAGTACATTTATATAAGGTATTTATGCATGGGGAAAAAGGAAATACACTCTTGTATTTTGCTACTGTAAAGATCTGTATATTGGATAGACATTGTATATAATTTTGTAAATAAACGACTCGTACTCTTATTATAAATAACAGGTTAAGCATTTACTGCGCATGCATTAATATCTTCGCTCATATTGTTATGAATTTTAAAATATAACCTCATTGTTGGAAATCTTATTATTTTAGTATTAAGTAACTTGATACTTTTAGTGTTTCAATTGAATTGTAGAACTAAACTTAATCTACCATCAATTAAATCGCAAAGAGGTCTAGATGGAAAATAGTTCCCAACTTTATGGTTTTAAACAATCTAAAAATGCAAACAAAATCAAGTCTCAAGTTATCTTAACTTACAGGACGAGTAATTTGCTTAGATTTTTGTATTTTCTGATTGCAGATCAGGAAATACAATGCTGACATTCAATCTCTGGCACAGAATTTCACGACAAGCCTAACAACAAGTAGTTCACAAAACAGCTTAAAACTAGCGATGTAAAAGAAATAATTATTTTTATTTTGTTACAAGTATCCAACAAATTACAACGCATTATAAGTTAAAAGGTAGCTTTCTTCGTTTAACTTCCCCGTGGTGCAGGGGTAACACGCTCATTTAGGGTGTGAGAGGTCTGGGGTTTAAATCCCAGTCGAGGCAACTATTTTTTATGTGTTTTTTAAAGGGTAGCCACGATAAGCAAGGGTAAAGACTATTTTAGTGTGGCTGTCATAAAGAAATGAACGTAAATGATTTTTTTATGCAACTGTAGTCATGCAAAATTCCGCATGTATCAAACTCAAACTGTTATAGTAAAAAAAGCTAAACGCAGTCGCTGCATCTCGGTGCCCTGTAAGATGAATTATAGTATATATAAAACTTATTCAGGAAAAAAGCATACAGACATAACAATACAATTTAGATTGGAAAGATCAGAAACTACCACAGAGTTTGCAGCCCTTTGATTTTTTAAGTGTGAGGATACATGTCCATTAATTTTCTTCCTTGCTTCATTGCCGTGTGAGCGGAAATTGCAAAAACGTTCGCTCTACTGTACACTGTATTGACGCATAATATCTCTCTCCGTCTGTAA